CGCGGGGCGCGGGCGCCGCCGCCGCCGCCGCCGCCGGCCCCGCGCCGCAGGGCACCGCCGTCGTCGTCCAGCCCGGGGGATCCCCGGCGACGGTGCTGCTGCGCAGCGAGCGGCGGCAGCAGCAGCGCGAGGACCACATGCGCCAGCTCCTCGACGTCTGCCACACGCTCACGCAGCAGGAGCTGCACGACTTCGAGATGAAGTGAGTGAGCGCAAGGCCCCGCTCACGCCACGCTCGACCGCAAATATTTACAAACACTTGAAGAAATTCAAGAGAAAATATTATTTTTAGAGAAAAAGTTATTTTCCTTGTTTTTCTTCAACTTCTTATTCCCGTTCTAATTATAAATACTTCTAGATGTCAGCAGCAGCAATATTGCGTTCAAATTCATAATTATTTTATGATCCACAGTATTTCATTATTGGTTTCAAAAGCATTTATCTCAGGTTCGTAATTTTTACTTGAAATCTTCGGTATGCGTTTATGACTTGCAAAGAATGCCACTAGGAACTAACCTGTTATAATTGCGGAGTATTCAGTCAATATTAGTCTAGCATGTTCTTAAAAATTATTATTTAGGAGAATACGACCATTAGAAACGGAATTGCTGTCCAACATCACGTACAGAGTGCATACCGAGATATGTCTGGTGCCAAGAAATGTGGTATACTCATAGGAGCAGATGCTAGAAATTCAACTAAGCAAAGAGAAATCTCAACCACACCAGGTATATCTGTGGAGCGCCTTGGTAATAACCTGGGTGAAGTTGTAACGCGTGCATGTACTCTATACAGGTGCCGCCTCCAAAAGGCCTTTTGCCGAGTCTTAGCCGTGTGAAGTGAAAGCAAGTTGCGCGGCCGTACGCACAAAAACCTCTCTGATGTTACGGCAAGCACGTCATCACCCGCACCTAACAATTTACCTTCTGTGAACCAGGTCGTACGAAGACACTCCCCTCTTGCTTACATAACCCCATTTTCTCTTTCATCTAACGAAGCTGCTTCTACACAGAATGTCGTCCTAACCAACACAAGTCGTTCATTACACCACTGTACTCTGCTTATGTCATACAACTTGAAATAAAACAAAATGTTAATATTCAGAGTCTAAGCCACATGTTGTAAACCCGAAATAAGGACAAATTAAAACACGACTCACGTCATTAAAATTTCAATGACACTGACTCCATTCGCACATGTTACTCTGTCGCTAAACAACGTGTTCGCGTGTTTCAATAAAACGAAGTTATCAACTGCAAGGCAAATTTAAAGAGCACTTCCAAAGCCTGTCATTTCAGTACTACGGCCAATTTTATTACTGTGTACCGGCTAGAATAGCGTCCCGTGTTTCCATTCGCTAACAGCGAAATGTGGCGTAAACGTATATTACAAAACTAGTTGATGCCATCACTGTCCTATTAGATAAATCAGAATGTATTGACAGGTATACTCGTATTCCTTATATTCCGTTTGTGAAAAATACTCCAAAAGTCTAAAAATATAGGAATCTCAATGGTTGTTCAAAATTTCTTGGCCAAACAAATTATCTGATAAAATTGCCTACTAAGCAAAGAGAGCACAGTAGTTGATGCTGATACGATATTTCCTAACCCACACGAATGGATAATCGTATACCAATACAGATAGAGTCAATCCATTTTGGACCTACAAAGATAAGCAAAGCCACGGAGGGAGAGAAACAGAACCAGACAGTCCAGAAAAGTAAGAATATAGATAAACAGAACAAGAATATATTCTCAAGTTTTAAAAAAATCAACAGATTAGAAACTGATAAAAAGTAGAGAAACGTATAAAAGTTTTGTCAGAAAAACAGAAAAAGAAACAGTCAAGTGCAATCTTCTACTTTCTACTCATTCTTTTCATTCCAGTCTAAAATGAAGAACATTTATTTAACATTATTCTGTAAGTACCTTTAATTTTAAATGAGTATCGGTGAGCTAACTCCATAAAACAAACATACCGCTTCTCAGTGGTTTTATTGAAAATTGTTGATCTACGAAACACATGAAACATTCCGAAACTTGCATTTACAGAATAAAAACGAAATACAAAAATTACTACAACTGAATCGAATACTATTTCTAAACTTTTCATTCCCTCCAAATGCTGTTACTACGATTAAAATAACAAAACCAAAGAATTTACATTAGAATTCAATTCATGTTGAATATATTAAGTTAACATGAACTCTACCTGTGTTCTAGAAAAGTTTACCTAGCTATATAGCAAGTGTTAAAATCCCTGCCACACCATCGAGACTGAAACCCTAGATGGGAGCAACGCAGTAACCAATTCAGGCCCTGAGCCACCTAAACTGGTAGCAAAGAAGCGTCTTCCACAAGCGCCGTTATTTATAGCAACTTCACGTGTGCAGGTTTCTTTTTATAGCACGTTCGCGTGTGCAGGTGCGGCTTATGATGGCAAATTTCAGCAAAACATCGATTCATCGAAACTTCGTTACATCATCAAAAGGTTTTCGATGTCGAAGAAAATTATCGACAAAAAACATCGATATTTCAAATATAGATGTTTTAAATTTCATAAAACATTTCGAAGTAAAAAATTCCTGGTTCTAATGTGATACATAACACGTCAATATTAGTTCAAAGAATATTCTGCCTTAACCCCTTAGTTACTCCCGCTGGCGTACTTTGTACGCCACTTGAACGCTATCGCCGTAGGTCTCTGATAACATCAGTGCGCATTCTGACATTTGACGAAACCTCGTAGAAAGTATTCAGCAGCATCCTCTCCGACACTCAGTTGCGTAAGATTTACTGCAGTGGCTAGACGATTGTATTTTCGTTGGAAATTGTTCGTTGACGTACTTTCTACGCCGCGCGGTTACCAATGTCAATTTTCATTTTCCTTTAACACAGGAATTTTTTATTTAGTAAGGTAATTAAACTAAATTATTTAGTTTTACATTAGGAACAATACAGAGATAAATAATTTATAGAAAAAGGGGTAAGAAAGAGGAACATAAGTTCGCGCACTGTCCGTGGCTAGTTTTGTAGGGCAATGTTCCGGCATTCGCCTGGTATTGATCGAAGAAACCACGAAAAGCTACCGATTAGAGCAGCCGGCTGCTAGAATTCTCGTTCAGACAGCGACTGAATTCGACATAGCTGACAAGCTAGTGTCTCATTCTGCCACCATCGGAAATGGAACTCTTGGATCCCCGGTCAGAGGGTCATTTGATTTTCATTTTTTTCATTTGCATTTGTCATTTGATATTGCAGTGACATCAGTTGATGCACTGGGCCACCTCTCCCGGTTCTGTATTTCATGATAAATTGTTTTTAAACACGTCTATGTTTCTGAACAAATATATAAATCTAAAGAAAAGATCTAACGCAAAACCCCCGATGTTGCTATGTGGCTGTTTTAGAAACGTGGCGTGTTTTGTGCCGCCCGCAGGTACGGCAGCCCGCACCACAGCCGGTCGCAGTCTGTGAAGACGCCGGGGTCGCGCTCCAACTCTGGCCGCCCCAACTACCTGTGCCTGCCGCAGCAGCGCTCGCGCGTGGCCTCCATGCCCAACACGGGCGTCGAGGAGGAGTACTACCGCCTGCGCCACTTCTCCATCACGGGCAAGGGCGTGGTGAACAGGGGCGACTCGCTCAAGGCGCGCCGCTCCCGCTCCAACACCTCCGTCGGCTCCAGCAACTCCTCGCACAGGTACAGCGCCTCGCCCGCCCGCGCCTCGCCTCAGCGCGGTTTTTGCTGCATCCAGTTGCGTTTGGTCTGCGGCAATTGCTGTACGCCGGGCAATGCCACGCTACATTTCGCAACACGACATCTCACTACACATACAAACATTTGAAAGATCCTTTTCTCCCTGCTTTTTCGTTTCATCAAGTTTCATTTGTTTTCGTTAATTACTTTACGCTGCGAAACGGTACACTACACTACATTTCCAATACTGCTCTTCACTACAAATACAAGCGTTTGTAAAGATCATTTTCTCCCTCCTTTTTCGTTTCATCAACTTTCATTTGTTTTCGTTAAATACTTTACGCAGCTCAACGATACACTAAATTTCGTAACTCTTAATCTTCACTACAAATACAAGCGTTTGTGAAGATCATTTTTGTCCATTTCACCAAGTTTAGTTCTTCGTGAATTACTGCACGCTGCGCAACGCTACACTATATTTTGCAACTCTGCTCTTCACTACAAATACAAGCATTTGTAAAGATTCTTTTCTTCCTGCTTTTTCGTTTCATTAAGTTTAGTTTTTCGTGAATTACTTTACGTTGCGCAACGCTACACTACACACTACAAGTTTCACAACACTACCCTTCACTACAGGTACAAGTGTTTATAAAGCTCCCTGCTGCAACTGCCAGAGCCCCTTGCGGCGCCGCGTTGCAGCCGGTCACCGGCTCGTTGAGCACTCGCTGCCCCATATGCGCTGTAGCCTAGAACAGGTTGCTGTTCTCCTCCCCCGCCATCGATGATCGCTGCGACTTTTCCAACACGAAACGTCACCTCCTTCACTCGTCCAGCATTAAGCCCGATTTACACGGTCATCTTTTAATTTTTTGCGTCAGTACAGAAAAGTAACGGATGAGACTGGATGTAACTGGGACATTGCATGGACCAGACTGGGACATTGCAAGGAAAACGTGCACTATAATCTTGCCCGACCGGGAATCGAACCCGCGTCGCGTCAAGGAAAGAGAGCACGCTGAACAATGAGCTAAACCGTGATTGCCAGTGCTAATACAACATATCTTAATACATTACATATACGATTTGTTCAACTGTTTAATCTTCAGACCTTTCTGCGGCGGTCAAAATAAATATTTTCATCATGATTGCATGGAGAAAACGAAATGACTGTGTAAAACTCTCGATCTCGTTCATCCAGTTTCGATACCGAAACAGTAGTGCGTAGAAATGAACGTCTTTTCTATACATTTTCTGTACAGAGAAATTATGAAAAAATGACTGTGTAAACCGGGCTTTAGACCTCCCTAAGATCCTGTCGTGCAAACAGGACGCTCGTCAACCTCCCAACAATTTCACCCGTTTTGCTTTACCACAGGATGCACGAACCCGGAAAACTTCATGAATGCACATGGAGGGTCTCTAAGGCCCTGCGAAATACACTCTCGAAAAATATATTAAAATTGTTTTTTTATATCTTCGTTTATTAATAAGTTCAATAAAATCCAAC